TTTGCTAAGTTGCTGAGGCTGGCTTTGATCCTCCTGCTTCAGCCTCCTGAGCCCCTGGGATCATAGGTGTGCATCACCACGCCCAGCTGAGTCTTTAATTTGGAAAACAAATTCATAAAAGAGAGGAGAAATGGAACATTGCTAAATCTCAGAAAACCAACATCTCCTCCCTGCCCATCCTTTCCTGATCATTCCCTCAGCTAACCAGGGATAATTACTTGTTTGTTTTTATAGTTTATTCAGCCTGTCTGTTTTTGACACCTACACAATTATTAAGCCATCATATATGCACATGTGCCCATTTGTTTGGCTTCCCCTTATGTTCATAAAAATCATGTTGCCATATGTGCCTGTGGTGTATTCAGTTGCATTACATTACTGTTTATTTATGCTACCATAAATGGACATTTGGGTTAACTTTTGTGTGAACTCTTAGGAACAGCACCATTCCAACCCCCCCTTTTTTTTTTTTTGATACTAGGGATTGAACTCAGGGGCACTTGACCCCCGAGCCACATCCCCAATCCCCAGCCCTATTTTTTTTTTTAAATATACGTTCTAATTTTTCTTTATAATATTTATTTATTTAGTTTTCGGCGGACTCAACATCTTTTGTTTGTATGTGGTGCTGAGGATCGAACCCGGGCCGCACGCATGCCAGGCGAGCGCGCTACCACTTGAGCCACATCCCCAGCCCCTTATTTTGTATTTTATTTAGAGACAGGGTCTCACTGAGTTGCTTAGTGCCTCACCATTGCTGAGGCTGGCTTGGAACTCGCCATCCTCCAGTCTTAGCCTCCGGGTCCGCTGGGATTAACCCAGTGCCTTACATGTGCCAGGCAAGCACTCTACTGCTGTGCCACCATGCCCGGCCCAAACCTTTTTTAAACTTCCTAAAGTGTGTCAGCAAGTTTCTGTGAAATAGAAATACTGGGTCATATGGTTCAATGAAGCTTCAGTTTCATCAGATAAAGTCAAAGTGTTAGATTTTAGTCAAACATAGCATGTTTGAGGCCCTGAGTTCAATCCTCAGAACCACAAAAACAAACAAACAACAATAAAAAAACAAAGACTGTGAACCAAATATCCACTGCCATTCCTTGTTTGACCTTCAGATTTCTTCTTCCTAAGGATTTAAAAAAAAAAAGAATACACACACACATGCATATATATAAATATTGAGACAGGGTCTCACTGAATTGTTGAGTCTGGCCTTGAACTTGTGATCATCCTTCAAGCCTCCCAAATCACTGGGATTACAGGTGTGTGCCACTGTGTCCAGCCTATTTTATATTTTTATTGTGGTGCTGGGGATTGAACCCAGGGGCATTTTACCTCTAAGCTACATTCCCTGCTCTATTTTATATTTTACTTTAAGACAGGTTCTCATTATGTTGCCTAGACTGGTTTCAAACTTGTGCTTCTCCTGCCTCAGGCTCCTAAGTACCTGAAATTACAGACATGTATCACTGCATCTGGTCTAATGACTTTTAGCTTATGTACAACCTCTGCATTTTCTTTATATTTTGAAACTTTGAAAAATTTATTTGCCAGGCATGGTGGCTCATGCCTGTAAATCTTAGATTTGGAAGGCTGAAGCAAGAGTATCACGAGTTCAAGGCTGGCTTCAGCAACATAGTAAGGTCCTAAGTTAGCAAGATCCTGTCTCAAAACAAAAAATAAAAAGGGCTGTGGATGGGGGAATGTGGCTCAGTGGTTAAGCACCATTGGGTTCAATCCCCTGTACTAAAAAAAAGAAAGAAAAAGAAAATTTAAACATACTAAGTAAAAACACAGCAAAATACAGATTAATAATAAAATAGCAGAGACTAAAATGATCCTTAGGACCACTATGTGCCTGTTTGTGCAAGTACAATAGAAATGCTTTATGCTGAAGCATACTTTTTTAAAAAGACAAAGCATACTTTCTAAAAAATCCTCAGGCAGTGCTGAGGATTGAACCCAGTGCCTTACATGTGCCAGGCAAGCACTCTATTGCTGAGCCCCAGCCCTTGCCCAAATTTTATATAAACTTAAAATGACTAAAAAAAGTCTACTGCTGGGTCTCATGGTACATCTCTATAATCCTAACTACTCAGGGAGCTAAGGAGGATCACCAGTTCAAGGCTAGCTTGGACAACTTATCAAGATTGTATCTCAAATTAAAATTGTGGAGTATTTTCCATATGATAATAAAGAAATATCTACTTGAAAGAACTTACTATTTACTTGTTTCCTTCCTTCCTTCCTGTACTGGGGATTGAATTCAGGGACACTCTACTGAGCCATATCCCCAGTATTTTTTATTTTTATTTTGCAACAGATCTCACTAAATTGCCTATGTTGACCTCAAATTTTGTGCCAACACACCTGGCTTGTTGTAGTTCTTTTTTTTCTTTTTAGGTACCACAGATTGAACTCAGGGGCACTCGAGCACTGAGCCTCATCCCCAACCCTATTTTGTATTTTATTTAGAGACAGGGTCTCCCTGAGTTGCTTAGCACCTCATCGTTGCTGAGGCTGGCTTTGAACTTGTGATCCTCCCGCCTTAGCCTTCCAAGATGCTGGGATTGCAGGTATGTGCCAAGGCACCCAGCTTGTTATATTTCTCTTTTTGTTTTTTCTTTTTGGTACCAGGGATTGAACCTGGGGTGCTTAACCAGTGAGCCATATCCCCAGCTAAGCCTTTTTTATATTTTATTGAGAGACAGGGTCTTGCTGAGTTGCTAAGTGCCTCGCTAACCTGCTGAGAGCTGGCTTTCAACTCATGATTCTCCTGCCTCAGCCTCTGGAGTTGCTGGGATTACAGGCATGGGACACCATGCCCAGTTCTTGTTTTATTTCTTTATATAATAACTGGCTAATGTATCTTCTATTTTCCTCTAAGTATTCATAAAAAATGACAGATTTTACTATGGGACTTTCAATCTGGCAGTTCCCAATTATTTTCAAATATATCTTTTGTCTTTAACAATAAATTAAATAGATTTAGACAACGAAGGGAAAGGGCAACCTAAAATGGATACATTCCTGTTTCTTTAACAACAACAAACTAGTTGTTATTTCATATTTACATAACCCTATGTACATTCCTATGTGTTTTTCTTCTGATCATCTTCCACAAATTGCTGAGTGGGCAAAATCAGGAGCCAGAAGATATTCACAAATTTCAATACTCTGCAACACAAATTAGAAGGAAGCTTTGAGGAATCAGTTACAATTAACACCTTTAGTTTATGCAATTAATTATTTATCTCATGCTTTGTTAAAATGAAGAGTAAGTTTAGCACAGTGGGTACATGCCTATAATTCCAGCTACTTGAAAGGCTGAGGCAGGATTCTGAGGCCAGCCTGGGCAATTTAGAAGACCTGTCTCAAAATAAAAATTGCTTCTTGGCCTTTTGGCTAAGATCAAGTGTAATATGTGATCAAAATAAAATAAAAAAAGGCTGGGGATTAGTGGTAGAGAATCTGCCTAGCATTTGAGAGGCCCTGGGTTTCATCTTCATTAACACACACACACACACACACACACACACACACACACAC